ACTGTTTCTCTGCCACTGCTTTTTATCATCTTGCGCCATCTCAGGTGTTACAGATCTCTCTCTGTCTCCTGGGTCTAGGAGATTCTCAGCCCAGGGACCCTGGGTCTAAAGGATGCACTCTGCTCCTGTGTGTTCTTCTTGGTGGTAGTGAGGTGCCCTCTTCCTGCCTCTGGAATGGTTCATTTTAAGCCTAGTGGGATGGCAAAACTGACCAATCTCCTTGTTAGGGTTCCATACACCTTATTTGCATGGCCCCACCCTTGGAAGTGCTCCACGCACCTTATCTGCATTGTTATCAAGCTGTCCAGTCCCCTTGGTGGGCCACAAGCACCTTATCTGCAATCATTTTGTAGGAGTCACAAGACCATAAATGGCTAAAAGGGCCATATAAAGTAATTCATTGCACCGAAAACAGTAAGCATGAACTAGTAATTCTGGCAGTGTAGGGTTATGATTTCCTATGATTGGTTCTTGAAGAGATGGTTTTGTAGATGCTACGAATGACAACCAAGAGAAAATCGACAGACGCTATGAAATGGAAAACAAAGGCACACCCTCCCATTTTCCTCAAAGTCTTAAATAGATGCCAATTACCAACACATATTAAGAAAATCTGGAAGATGAGACAATGTGATCTTCACATCTTCAAAAGGAACTGCCTCAGGCCAGGGAGCTGGACCTGCTCTGGAGACTTCATTTCTGAGCCTATCATTACAGAAACTTATGATACATTCTCGTGTTTTAAATTTCATTGAAATTTGCTGGTTTCTATTTTTAAAAGTGGATATTGGGATATATTCTGGTCTGGCCTAATAACTGGAGGCCCAAGTTCTGGGTCTAACTCTCCACTGAGTCACCCCGTGGCCATGTTTTGCCCATGTGGGCCTCAGTTTACTCATTCGTAACACGAGATTAACAATCACCACTTCCTACTTTCTTGACAAGAACGGCGCTAAAATAATTAAGACGACAGACAGAAAATACTTCAAGTACCCTCAAGGGAAAAGCGATTAAGGAATTATTAATCTATCAAAACAAAACTAAGAATTATTAGGCATCTACTCTCTTATCTGAAGGAGGAGTTAGCCATCTTCTGAAATTCCTGGAGCACGAGAGAGGAAAGCGTTTCCCTGGCAGGCCACAACTGCTATAGGTGCCAAGGACCTCTCCCCAGGACAGCGAGTTTCAATGTTCCACCAGAGCAGAGACGACTGTGTGCGGGTAGAAGGTGAGGACCAGAAAGGTGCCTGATGTCCAAAGGGGAAGACCAATGTCCCATCTTAGGGCATTTCTGGATTGGTCCAAATTTAGTGTCCTTGGGTAAAGAAAGGAACTATCAGGGATTGCCAGTGTTATATTTCTGAGCATTTTTCTGAACATAAAGCCCAAATACAAGCCGAGGCATGAATTTTTAACATCAACAGCCATTAATTTATACCTTTATATCCCCTACTCTGGTACTTTTTTACTCCACGGCACTCAGGGTTATTAATTTGGGAAGTTACTGGTTTAGGAGACAAATAGCAATTATCCCTTAACATTAGGCAGGAGTTCTATGGAAACTAACTCTGAACACACACACACACACGCACACACAGATCTCTATTACAACCATTTATTCCAGTAGAGTCCCAAATGAACTGAAGAAGAAAATGAACAAACAGGGAATTTCATCTACCCTCTTGGTTTCTGTAGCAAAACCATTGTGAACTCACAAGAAGACACGAGCGTAAGTAGTTCCTTAACATTAAATTCAACTTAAATGGGGAAACCAAATCTAAAAATGACCATAAATCATCTCTCCAAAGTGCTTCTAATACAGGGGATGGGAAGACAGGCCTAACGCCACCCCATAATCTGTAATGTATTTGGTATGAGTGAAAATCACAGGAAACCAGAGCTGCGTGATGAAAATAAAGAGCAACAGTCGACTTTGTGAAGAGCAAGGCACATTGCTTTCAGCGTCTCAGAGAAAGCAAGATGCTGGAATCCTGCCCAGGGCTTCCCAGGTTGCAAGACTGACTGCATTTTGAACCCAAATCCAGCTCTTCTGTTATATAGAAGGTTACTGCTTTTTAACCGGATTTTTAACAACTACCTGCTTCTTTAGCAATATTCTGGGAAAGGCTGCCCAGTGGTCTACCCAAGCAAGACAAAGATGACCTACAAAAGGTTACTGAATATGGAAGACTGTAAGGAGAGGAAGGGAGAAGAGAGAAATGGCTGGAAGAAGAGAGGGAGGGACAAGGGAAGGAGGCAGCCCAGTAGGCAAAATTCAAAAGACCACATTTCATAGCTTTACACCGTTTACAAATTAACAGAAAGGTGGTTTAACCTCTACACCAACCTTCCTTTCTAGGTGGCTGCTGGTCACTCTTCAGCAAACAAAGGAAAGCACTGAGCATGCTCAGCACGCCAGGTGCCTTCATTCCATTAACCTTAGAATTTGTTATTAAATGGCACGAGAATGAATGCAGTTAGCATAAATAGGATAGGAATGTCTGCACTCAGTACAGTTTAAGTCCGGAAAAAACCTCCTAGTTCTATAACAGAGGTGCACAAGAATGTGCAATTTTAATTAAGTCATTATTGTATCCTCTGGACCAACATCCCAAGGTAAGCACAGTGATTACAAGATGGAAGTGCACATAATGGACTTCAAAGGTGGAAGCCCCTACCTACCCCACACAGAAGCATCACATGTGCGCAGCTGCTGAATAGCGTACTGATCATCCCGCGTTAGAAAACTGGGTGTTACTTCTGAGAACAAACACATGCAGAGAAAAATCTGTCCCTTAATCTGCTATCAAATTACACTGGGTGCGCACAGTAATACTACATGCAAAGAATTTTAAACTTCCCGTAATTTCTTATTTAACGGTTTATTTTAGTGTACTATGTGCAATTAAAATATTAGCTTAAACATAATAATTTTCTGTACACTAAGTTGTAACATAAATATTCACTTTTAGGTTAGAAACAAAGGTAATGCCTTTCATCCATCAGCATGCCACAGCGGATAATTAACCCTGGTGCCGCAGTGGTTAGGAGCTTGGCTGCTAACCAAAAGGTCGACAGTTCAAATCCACCCGCTGCTCCTTGGAAACCCTATGGGGCAATTCTACTCTGTCCTATAGGATAGCTATGAGTCGGAATCAACTCAACGGCAACAAGTTTCGGGGTTTATTTAGCAGGGCTACGTGGCCCCATTTGTACCTCATCTCCCAATTTCCAGAGCAAGTAAGCCCGTGATCGGTTCTTCACGAGTGGTCAGCGACTTAACGCAGTGCACACCTTCCAAGCCGTGTGGACCCCAGGTCTCACCGCCATTCCTGAGCAGAGCTGCACCAGGACTCCAACCCCATCCAACTCCTCAAACCCTCCCCCATCCTCTGGATCCTCCCTGAGCCCAGTATCTGCCCTTGAGATTACAGAGGTGCTTAGATAGCTACTCTGTGGGTGTTCTAGAACTTTTCAGTAGGCACATCCTCAGGAGTATCAGACATACCCACAATGCAATTCAAGGCTCTCACACATACCGTTATTACAACGCTGCTGAGAAGGCAGATTCTAACTGCCGCCCTCGCGCTCTTTTTACAGACCTTACCCGCTACCTGATAGTGTGTTTTCAATGACACTGGGTAGGAACCGTGAGGAAACTGGATGTCATACAAATGATATGAATAGCAACCAGGAGGATGCACAGCGTTTCATTACTGGGTCAAACTGGATTAATATGTTGCTTTATTTAGATTCCTCTCTGAAACAGAAAACCACACAACCTTTTAACACATGACCTTCCTTATAATGGATTCCAGCTCTTCTGGGGGAGGTGAATTTGACATTTTAGCCTTCTTTCACTGCTTTTGATACCAAGTAGCACATACCAAGAAAACCAAACCCATTGCTGTGGAGTAGATTCCGGCTCAAAGCAACACTCTAGGACAGAGTAGAACGCCCCGTAGGGTTTCCAAGGAGCGGCTGGTGGGTTCGAACTACCTACCTTTTGGTTAGCAGCCAAACGCTTAACCACTATGCCACCAGAGCTCCAAAGTAGCGCATGGGAGGAGAAAATCAAAATAGCCCTTAAAGCGTCACCGAAACCAGGTTGCAAGAAAAAATTTTAGAAAGAAACCAGGCTTCTGTTTACAACAACAAAGCTCTAAATATGTACAGCAGGGCTTAGCATCGAGCCTGGCACATACTGAGCAGTTAAAGAATATTTGTCGAAATAAAAACTTCAACTAAAAGACAATAACTTATTAAGTATTTCTCACTGACCATATATAGAAGATGACCATAACATAGCAAGGTTTGTTTTTGGAAGCTTCCAAACACATCCACACCCAGTGAGTACCCTCCTTCAAAGTGATTCTCTGAAGACTAAAATCATATTCAAACACGGCCATTCTTCAGCCCTCTTGTAAAAATTCTCTTTGAGAACATCCTTCAGAATCAGTTTGCACATGATATAAATAAATTTCTTGCTTTATGATCATACCTCTTGATTTAAAAAAAAAAAGGCTAAACTTACTGTGCTTTGAATGACTTTAAGCTATTATCTCAAATCAAAACTATCATACAAACTGAGTATTTTCTGCTACCGAGATTATTCAAATGAATATGCATATGCAATTCCAGAAGAACTCCCAAAGCAATCTGGGTGATGCAGCCTTGTGGGAATAAGTTTATAGACTCCAACAGTGACAACACCGAGTGGGCATCAAATCCATACAGCGTCTGATCTTCAACCCAAGATTGTGTTGTCGTATTTCACGAGGCCCAAAGGATAACTTTTAAGCAGTCTTCCACTTCAGTATCAGGTAACTTTAAACACATTTGGTTGATAGATATTTTCATTTCAAAGATTTCATTTAATCGTTCTTAAAAGAATTGAAGGGAAGCTACTCTTTTGCAGAACCTATTCAAATTTCATAGCTTAGACGACACCAGTTCAAGAAATTAAGTGGTTTTAACAGAATTATCAGTTAAATACTTACGCCATGATGCCTGAGAGGTGAAACATCTCAGCTGTTATATAGGACAGATAACTGTACAGGAAGACAAAGAGTGGCTCAATCACCCGGATATTGTGTGTGAACCGAGTAGTAAATGCTGCTATAAATCCCAGGAAGACGCCAATCAACACCCCACCAATTCCCACGACAAAGAAATTAGCAATTCCAGCAAACACGTCAATGGTCTCAATGGTCTTCATCTGGCAAAAAGACTTGAACAAGTTGTACAGGACCTGTGGGAGAAAGCAAACACATTGTCAAGACCCCTTACAATTTTCCCAACACCATTTGGGGCACAGAAAAATCTACCTGGCCTTCCAATAAGGACAATTGTTTTGTGTACCAAGATGGATGGATAACTGGCGATAATTATGTATTTGTTTATCTTATATTTTAATACTGTGGTTTTAAACAACAAAAATAAAACCTTAGATAATAGTGTGTTGTAAGGGAAACTGTTTCTAAAAGAGAAGGAAAGGAGAATTCAAAGTGATTACATAACTTACACTCAAAACATTCTTTTCTAGATATCATCTGAAAGGTTATTGTAAAATATTTGGTTGCCATCAAACACACCCTTCTTCTATTGCCATTGCTTGGGAAGCCGTATGTCATGGAAAAACTTGTCAGTGCTGCTGTGGATTTATTTACCATTTAAGGCCCTATCATGGGGTCACACCACAGAAGGGATTCACCACAGCAGTACAGGTACCCTACTTCAAGCTTCCTCCTCCCACCTCTTACCCCCCGCCCCATATACATGGCTGGTAATATTAGGAGTGAAACATGAGACCTGAAGGAATTTTCTTAAAGCAAAGAGGCAGCAGCTTCTGTGTGTGGTGGTGTTGCTAGCTGCCGTACAGTCAGCCCCCAACTCATAAGGGCCCCATTCACACATGAACAACTAAACAAAACACTGCCTGGTCCTGCACCGTAATCGGCTGCGAAATGAACCACTGTGATCTACAGTGTTTTCATATGTTAATTTTCAGAAGTCGATCTCCAGGCCTTTCTTCCTAGTTCATCTTGGTCTGGAAACTCTGCTGAAACCTGTTCATCATCACAGCAACACTCAAGCCTCCACTGACAGGTGGGTGGTGGCTGCACATGAGGTGCACTGGCCAGAAATTGAACCTGGATTTCCTGCACGGAGGGTGAGAATTCCACCAGAGAACAACCAATGCCCCTTGTGTATGTGTGTGTGTGTGGCAAGCGGATGTACATCTGCTGTAACTACATACAGACATACTTTGTACCCTGAAGTACTTGACTACATTGTTGTTTAGTTTCTGAAAAATATATGCAGTATTTATATTGTCTTAGTTTAATTAATGCCTCAAAAATGTGAGGAAATTTACAACCGTTGTGCAATATGCTTTCAAACATGTTTCTGAGGGTCACTGAGTCAATTAAAATGGTAAATGAGGGCTTAAAATCAACCGGTTTTTTCACAAAGTCATTAAGTAAAATAAAAATCAGGTGGGCGCCCTGCTTCTTTTCTCCGTAATATTTACATTCCGGGAGCAGCCGGGACCTCCAGGAGAGCAGACCGTGACAGCATGTCAGGGCCAAAGGCCTTTCCGAGCGAGCGCTGTGCTACGCCCTCATGTGGGTTTTGAGAAACCCAAAATTTAACCGATTTGTCCGCAGTCACACCAAACGCCAGATGCAATACCAGAATCCAGGTCTCCTGACCAGGGGCAGATTATCCAATAGGCAAGGTAAGCATGCTACTTACCTTGCTTACCAGATTCTCTATGGTGAATGCATTCACCTTTTTTCACCACATCAAAGATTCTGCTTCTGGTATGGCTGGCATCTCTCTCCCTCAACCCCACGGCACCTTCCTACAGAATCAAAGCCTCTTGTACAATCCCTGACAGGGGTGGATGACCCAGCAAGCAAGGTAAGCACGGGCTTACTTGTAAAATGCAGTGAAACCCATGCGAAATTTTTCACTACCGATTTGTAAGAAAGCACAAGTAAACTCATGCTTACCTTGCCTATTGGATTATCTGGCCCTGCTTCTGACCTTCTGGTTAAGTTTTTCAAGGTTCAGCCACTGGGAAGTGAGTCAGAATCTCTCTGCTAAACTTCGTGTGTCCTGGTGTCACTCTCTCTACCGACCCATGGTCCTTGATAGCCTACCCATTACAGGTTTTGTGTGATCTCTACTGGATTATAAACTCCTTGCAGTCAAGAATCATACCTTATTGTGATTTATATCTTCAAGGTTGCCTAGCAGATGACAACAGATATCTGCTGGCTTGTAAAAAGTAGAGGATAATTACTTAGAAAGCAGCGGGATTGCCCTTTCTTCTAATAGTTGGTGTAACACTCAAGAGCATTTGGCACCTTACCACCAAGAAATGATCGGAATAAGAGAAGAAGAAAGCAATTCACTCCTCCAAGGACTTAAATATCTTGAAGGCATCATCGTCCCCCAGAGAAGATACTGGCTTCAGATGGCAGTCGCTTCCTACTTCCATCCAGAGGCACCGGTTTTATCAGCATCCACATACCACAATCACTTCCTGAGAGACAGGAGATGTGCTGTATATACCCCTTGCCTCCAAACAGCCAGATCCAAAAGGTGGCCATCACTCGCAGCTCTGAGGACAGATGGGTTTACCAGCTGTCCATTTCTGCATGACAACCTCTCTACCAGATCACTCCAGGCACTGTGCTACCACCCACAAGGTCCTCAGCTTCTGCCATCCATGCTTCCAGCCTGCATGAGCGAATCTCGTCTCCTTTGCTCTAAACCCACCCGGCCCCCACCCTTCAGCCACCATAAGACTTAATTCCTTTAAATGCTGCCATTCCATTTTTCACCCCCAAGTTTGAAATCTTTGACTGCCTGACTCTGGAAAGGCTTAATAGTCTCACCCCATATGCCTGGCATACTTTTTTTTTTTACTGCTTTCCAGCATCCTTCAGTCTGGGGGTGAGGTCTTATCACTGCCCCACAAAACGCATGACATGTTTTCATACCTGCCCCTGGTTTTCCCGCTCTGGTTTCTCTTGGCAGAACCCAGTACCACTTTCTTCCCTAAACCTATGGAAACGTCACCTGTCTTCCAAGACCTGCCTGAAGCTATTGTTCCTCCAAAAAGTCCTCGTACGTTCCTATTGCTCTTGTAAATCACCCTTTCCTCTCACCTCCTCCAACACAGAGGATCTCCAAAACCATTCAGCACTTAGTAAGACACCACCTTGTGTTGCTGGAGCTGCCTCTTGAGCGCTTGCCTCATTTCCCCAACAAAATTATGAATTCCTTGCCCACAGAACCCTTGCCTCATTCTTCCTCACTCCCCAGCCCCTAGCCCAAGTGGCCCAATGACGAGCCCTCCAAGAAAATCTCACATACTAATCCCTAGCATCAACAGAAAGGCCATAAATGTGTACTCTCTCCAAAACCCTTTTTCTGAAAACTCAATCCTTCAAATCTGTTAAAGGTACATTTTGTTTTAAATATCCCTTTAGGTTTTTCAAGGAGTAAAGCTGAGTCCTAGGAACTTTATTGTCAGCACAAGGGTCAGAAGTTACATTTTGATCATTCCACTGCCTCAGATGCCTCTGGTAAAGGAAAGTACCAGAAACTATCTGAGGTAAAATGTTACCTTGACAAAGAGAAAGCTTTCCACAACCTCCCACCTGTTTTACACTGAACCGGATGTCTAGTGATCAGCACAAGATAAAATTCTTTTAGTTATACTAGCCACAATCCCATAGTTAGCTCATTCCAATTAAATCCTTTAACTTTATCATAAGGAAATCTATGTAGAAAAGTGCTTTTCCGTTGTAATTAATTAAATATGAGCGTTTATATATATCTGTGTGTGTGTGTGTGTGTGTGTGTGTGTGCGCGCGCGCGCGCTTTCATTTTATTCCAAAGAATGTCCTAACTACTGCTAGGTCTCTCTTGTGTCTGTGGAAAGCTGACCTCAGCTTGACACGTGTATTTCTAAGACGCTGATGTGTCAGTGATGACTGACGGCTGAATTCCGTAATGGGCCGAGGACTTTCAAATCTTTCAAATAATCAAAGCATACTCATTATTATCATCGCTAAAATAAGTCCATACCTGTGTTACAATTAAACCTGTTGCCATCGAGTCGATTCTGACTCATAGCAACTCTACAAGACAGAGCAGAACTGCCCCATAGGGTCTCCAAGGAGCGGCTGGTGGAGTCAAACTGCCGACGTTTCCGTTAGCAGCCGAATGCTTAACCGCAGTGCCACCAGGGCTCCTGTGTTAAAATCGGGAGTTATCTATTTTGAACATTGATTAAAAATGTGTAATAATTTAATGATTTAATGAAATCATGTAAAGCCAAGATGAAAACTATACAAACAGAATTACTCTGTTACAGAAGAATAGTTTTCAGGTTACTTTTTCTTATCTGAAACATAAAGGATACCATTTTTACATAAGGAATTGTAGATTTGTTCTGTTATTTGCAAAAGCAAAATTAAGTGCCATGTGGTCACGGTGTACCGTCCAGCTTGCTGCAGTTAAATCCACTGCACAGTGAGCAATGCCTGGACCACTCAAGGTCATCACTAGCTTCTTCTGCAAAGCCAGCTCTCCTTAACCAGCCAAGCTATGGTAGATTGAGGGACCTCTTGTAAGTGTACATGGAAAACTTACTCGAATACTCAATTTTCGCATTCATACAATTAACATTAACACAACGTGAACATTAGTCATTCGATTACGAACTCTATGGAAACAGCAGGACTTCTCAGATAACTGAGTGCCTGAATAAGCTTTGCCAAGGAAGGGAAACTTTGAAAAGTTTTCATAAAATATTTACTATAAAGGAAAGCACAAAAATACTATTTAAAAATATCCCTGTTCCTATTTCCTTAAACTATCACAAACAGAAAACTCAGCATTTGGAATGATTTGATGCTGGTAAATACAGAACAAAAATTCATATATTAAATGTTGTTAATATTTTAATTAATTGTTACATTTCAATTAGTTATAATTATTAGATTATTAATTACTTAAATGATTGGTTTTACTCGGTTAATTAAAATATTTTTACCTAAAGCTTTATAACAATTTTTTTAAAAAGGTTTCTCATCTCTTTAGGTAGTCTAGCCTTTCCAATTCAATGCAGCAGGACTTCAGGGAAGTTCAAGGAGACTCTTGAGTTATCCGGTTATATGTTACCCAGCGTTGCTGTGAGTCTGCAGGAGAAAGGACCCTTCCACATCAGGCCGGCCTGCCACCCATCAGATGTGCCACGTTCACACTCCTTTTCCTTTCTGACAGTGGCCATACTCTGCTCCAAGTCTCATTTGCAGTCCACCAATAAAGCCATAAGCGCATCCCAAAATGTCTCCCCTCAATACTGTTATCAATAGGAGCCCTGGTGGCACAGTAGTTAAGGTCAGCAGTTCCAGTCCACCAGCTGCTCCTTGGGAACTCTATGGGGCAGTTCTACTCTGTCCTGTAGGGTCGCTATGAGTCAGAATCAACTAGATGGCAAGGGGTCTGGTTTTTGGTATGGGCAATAACTTATCTTCCATAAAACATCTTACCTCTACCTATCGGGGGGACCTGACTAAGAAGCGAAGTTAGCAATTTTTCATACTACTGTTCTAATTATTCCAAATACCTGGTCAACTTGGCCCACTGTTCAGATAATTCAGAGAGACAAACATCAGGTAGGTTTATTTTTCGCATTGGCTAGGAAAACCCTTGGGTGTGCCCTGATATCTTGTGCTTCTGGCTGTGAAGGCCCATGGGCTGTCCGCTGAGGGTGTATTAACCTACCAGGATATATAACCTCTTTTATGTGAAGTCATTACAGTGGTCGTGACCTACAGGTTCTGGCCTTGTGACAAGGGCTCCCACATCTAAAGACGAGCCATGTCCTTTTTCTGCTCTTGCCCTGCTTCCCATATTAGAATGGCAGACCTTCGCTCTGGCCCACTGCCCTCCCTGGCTTAGCCCTCCCTCTCTGTCTCCAAAACCACGTTGGATGGCTTCGCGCCTCTTGACAGGAAACACAGAATAAGATTCTGGAAGGCCCGGGCCTTTGCACACTCTAAACAGTGGTTTAACAAGATCCTTTTCTGAAATTCGATTCTTGACAAACTCAAAGAATGGAGGGCTGAGATGTCTGAATGAAAGATTTTATAACAGGAAGGAAGGCAGTGTAAAGGCATGGCATATATTCTGAAAAGGGCCTGACTTGACTGCAGGTAATGTAGTAAGGTGTTATTATTTCCTGGTAAAGTTTCCTTAGATGCGTTCTAAGAATCCCACATTAAAATGTCCTCAATCTCCCCCATCACGGGTAAAATTTACATACCCAAACATAAGTCACAATGGAAAACTTGATGCTTCAGAAATTGAAATGAGGCACAAAACGTCTTCATTATTTTGGAAGTTTCTCAGTTAAATATCAGCACTCGTAAGTTGATGAATAATCACTGTTAATGAGTGATGGAATAAATGAAGGGGATTTTATTACTTGAGGGAGGTAACTTAGCTGCCTTTAAGTCTCACATTCTAAAAAAAAATTGGATTTCTTTGTCAGTAAATTGTTTTCTACATAAGAATGTCCACACGGGATTAATGAGTATCATTAAAGATGATACTTAATTCAGTTAGGGGTCTAATTTTGTAGTAGCATATAGGCTAACAGAAAAACATTGGTTTCTGCGCTAGCCGTGAAATGAGTCAGGAATAGCATTTTGATGATAGCAACTAATGGAGAGTGCAGTATGAATCACTTCAGTTACTTCACTGCACTTTACTTAACCTTCTCCACCTCACTTTTCTTATCTGCAAAATGGGAAGAATACCTATTTTATCTACCACCACATAGGTTGTCACAAAGACTGGAGCCCATGCGAAGCATTCAAAAAAGTTAGTGGTTATTGTCACAGACTGAACTACGTCCCCCTAACAATGTGTGTATCAGTTTGGCTGGGCCATGATTCCCAGGATTGTGTGGTTGTCCTCCATTTTGTGATTGTAATTTTCTGGTAAAGAGGATTAGGGTGGGATTGCAACACCCTTACTAAGGTTACATCCCCGATCCAAGAAAGGGAGCTTCCCTGGGGTGTGGCCTGCACCACCTTTCATCTTACAAGAGATAAAAGGAAAGGGAAGCAAGCAGAAAGTTGGAGACCTCATACCACCAAGAAAACAGTGCTGTGAGCAGAGTGCATCCTTTGGACCCGGGGCTCCTGCGTGGAGAAGCTCCTAGTCTAGGGGAAGATTGATGGCAAAGACCTTCCTCCAGAGCCGACAGAGAGAAAGCCTTCCCCTGGAGCTGATGCTCTGAATTTGGACTTCTAGCCTAGTAGGCTGTGAGAAAATAGATTTCTCTTTGTTAAAGCCATCCACTTGTGGTATTTCTGTTATAGCAGCACTAGATGACTAAGACTGTTATCATTACTATCACTATTACTACTACAGAATCATGGATAACATAAACCAGCACCACTGGTGCTAACCAATTTGCTTACCAATCAAGGCTGACTCGAGGTCTTTCATTAGCAGAGCTAGATCGATTTGCAGGCCTGTGTGTGAAGGGAAAGTCTTCCTTATCCCTCTTGGGCACACCTCGCCTGAGTTCAGAAGGCAAGGTGGAAGTAAATTTTGCCAACATTAAGATCCTAACAGCCTCTGAGTATAATTGTCAATTAAGAGAGAGTTACAAATAATTTGTGTTCTCTGAATAAATACCAGCTTGTGGGAAAAGGAGGAGTACCAGAAACATGTTGGTGGAGTGGTAACAGGAAGTGACTCTGTGATGGCAAAGCTGCCTCAGATCACTAGCACGATAAATAAACCAAAATCCCAGATAAAGAATAGCGCTTAGTATGTGTTATGGTCTCACATATATTCTGCACACTGTAGATTACATTACACTGATAGCTTCGCTTCTCACAGAGAATCCTGACACTTGAAATCCTTTAAATTATGATCAAAGACCATCACCTTGAAAAGTGCCAACCTGGTAAATCTTCAAAGATAAATCTTCATCACAATCACTTGCATGCTCTTCTGGCATAACCAGTTAACCAGCTGACTTCAAGTTTAACCAGCTACCTTCAAGTGGATTCCAACTCATGGTAACCCTATGTGTGTCAGAGCAGAACTGTGCTCCATAGGGTTTTCAATGGCTGATTATTCGGAAGTAGACTGCCAGGCCTTTTTTCTGAGCACCTCTGGGTGGACTTGAACTGCCAATGTCTGGGTTAGCGGTCAAACACATTAACTGTTTGTACCGCCCAGGGACACCTTCGTCTGGCATAAACGCAGGGACTTGTAAGCAGGATTTGCTATACAGTTTGCAGGGCCCAGGAGAAAATGAAATGAGGGGCTCCCTGTTCAAAAAGCATTAAGACGCTCAAGACAGCGACAGCAGAACATTAAATCAAGTGTGGGCCCTCTGAGTGCAGGGCACTGTGTGGCTGCACGGGCACACACTCATGAAGCTGGCCCTGCTTGTAAGGTCTCACCCAGCATGTTCACACTTTTTTTTCCCCAGCTGTCTGTCTCAAAAAGCTGGTGGGTGAGCACCACGTGTTGGAGTAATGCAACAGGAACGTGCTACTCACCACTGTTACTGCATCATTCAGCAGTGACTCGCCAAAGACCAGGATGTACAGCTGCTCATTGACGTGAATGTTCTCGAAGACAGCGAGCACAGCCACGGGGTCTACAGCTGAGATCAAGCTGCCAAAGAGCAGATTCTGGAGCAGAGTGATGTCACTCAGGCCAAATGCTTCAATCTGGCAGATACCAAACAAAGACACTCCAATGCCAATGGAATTCCAAAGCGTCCCTACCACAGCATACCAGAAAATGGTGCCGATATTCTCAAAGAAAGGACGAGTTGGCATGAAATAGCCCGCATCGAGTACAATGGGTGGAAGGAGATACAAGAAAAATACATCGGTCTTCATTGCAGGTGGCGACTTTTCATCTACTCCAAAAATAATCCCACCTAGGAGAAGTCCAACCAGGATAAGAAGACAGCTTTCAGGCACTATCGTGGGCAACTTGTGGTAGAGATGGAAGCCTGTTAAGGAAAACATACACACAAAATTTGGGTTATGCAGGAATTATGGAGAGGGTTATTTGGTTCTCTTTGAATAACTAATGGGTCCTATTTCAAAATCTCCCAGGTTAGCAAAATTGGCAACTGACTGGCTTTACAGATTATGATTTAAAAGTCAAATGATTCCCTTAAAACCATTCACAAAGCATATTCAAGCAAAAATCTAAATGTAAATCAGAAATAGAATGCTACAGATACAAAATATGTATATAGTACAGTGCTCTGCCCTATAAGGTCACTGTGAGTCGGAATCAACTCAACGGCAATGGGTTTGGTTTTGGGGTTTTGGGTGGCACAGTGGTTAAAGTGCTTGGCTGCTAACCGAAAGGGCAGTGGTTCAAATCCACTACCCACTCTATGGGAGAGATATGTGGCAGTCTGCTTCCATAAAGATTTATGGCCTTGGAAATCTATGAGGCAGTTCTACCTTGTCTTATAGGGAGACTATGAGTTGGAATCGACTCAACAGCAATGTTTTTTTGTTGTTGTTGTTGTTTTGATATTTATATTTGAAACAATTTGGTGATTTCCAAAGCATTTTTAGATGTAACATCTCATTTGATCCTCATAAAAATCCTAAAGAGTCAATTCCGACTCATAGGAACCCTATAGGACAGAATAGAACGGCCCCCATAGTGTTTCCAAGGAGCGGCTGGTGGATGTGAACCGCCGAACTTTTGCTTAGCAGCCAAATGCTTAACCATTGCGCCACCAGGGCCCCATGTGGCAGGCTGTTAAGGAGTCTTCCTTCAATCCTGATGCCACATTCTTCTTATAGTCCATCTTCTCGGATTATAGCAGGCTCCAACAATTGGTGGGGCGTTATCTCTCAACTATTTCTCTTTACCTATGCCCTCGGGCCCTTTGGCCTCAGTGTCAAGAGAAGCCAAAAAGTCCATTGAAAACCACATCTTTGTAATCTCACGTCACACTGACTCCTATAGCTTCGCCATGTCAGCTTTCACGGTGTGATAAGGATGTGACCGTACTGTACATACTCTTTGCTGTCAAGTCGATTCCGACTCATAACGACCCTGTAGGACAGAGTAGAACTGCCTCACAGGGTTAGGAATCGCTGATGGATTCGAACTGCCGACCTGTTGATTAGCAGCCATGGCTCTTAACCTACACCACAGCTCTCCCCGAATCCATAGGGTTTGAGTGCAATAGCCTCCTTTCTGGAATGAAGGCCCAGCCCAAAGGCTTCGAGTCAACAAGCCTTAGGGCTACCATATAATGACTGCCTCCCTGGCTTCAAATCCCAGCTCCCACACTTTCTGCCTGTGACTGTGTGTTATGGATTGAATTGTGTCCCCAAAAAACATGGGTTGTCAGTCCTAACCCCTGTACTTGTGAATAGAACCACATTTGGAATAGGGGTTTCTTTGTTATGTTAATGAGGCCATTATCGGTGTAGGGTGTGTTTTTAAGTCAATCACTTTCGAGATATAAAAAGAGCAGATCAGGCACGGATGCAAGGAAACACAAATGGAGAAATATTGATGCCACTTAGAGATCACCAAGGAACAAAGAAAGAGAAGCGGAAAGAGACGAGGATTTTCCCAGAGCGGACAGAGAGGGCCTTCTCCGAGAGCCGGTGGCCTGAATTTGGACTTTAGCCTCCTCAACGCGAGAAGATAAACTTCTGTTCGTTAAAGCCACCCGTAGGTGGTATTTCTGTTATAGCAGCACAAGAAGCTAAGACACTGTAGATAAGCTACTTATCTGGTCCGGCCCCAGTCTGCTCATCTGTAAAATAGGGACAAATGTACCCACCACATAAAGTATTGTAATGATAACGGCATTGCCGACTCCACAGCACTTACCACTGTGCCCACGACATCACAAATGCCCCCCAATTTTAGTTTTCTTCCCCTCTTTCACATGAAAAACAAATAGTTCTAAAGAAATATGCAGAAGTAAGGAAGAGGAACGTGCTACAGGCAAACTAGGCAATCCTTGGAAAAGCTATGGGACCGCTCTACTCCGTCCTATAGGGTCGCTATGAGTGGGAATCAACTCGACAGCAACGGGTTGTTTGTTTCTTGGTTTTTTTTCTTAGAGGCAAACTATAAAACAGGTGAGACTTGTTTTCAGTGGCTCCCACTTCATCTTCTTGCCTTTTTCTTTACTTTTACTGCTACTCAGCCTCAGGTACAAAAAAGTAAAGAAAAGACTTCCTGAATTTCAGTGTTCACAGAATAAAACAAACCCACATTTACAAATGTGTATGCATTTGTGGCTCTTATTTTTCCTAAGCATTTCTGGAAAGGGAGATGAATTTGAATAGACTGAAATTGTTTTCCCTGAGTCACCACTTCACCTAATAGTATAGAGAAATATGTCAGTTACTGGGAAAAATCAAATGAACTTGCTAACGACTTTTACAAGGTTCCGCATGAGCTTCTGCGGGGACAAGCTGTTTAGTCCAGGGATTGGCTAACTTGACAGTAAACGTTTTCAGCTTGTGGGTCATAGGTAACTCTGACTCTGCTGTTTTAGTGCCAGAGCAGCCACAGATAATATCGAAACAAATCAACATGGCTGTGTTACAATGAAACTTTATTTATGGACATTGAAATCTGAAGTTCACATAATTTTTCTGTCACAAAATATGTTTCTTCTTTGATTGTTTTTATTATGATAAAATATATGTGACAAAACATTTGACATTACAGCAGTCTTCACATGTACAGTTCAGGGACATTAATTATGCCCATCATGTTGTTCAACCATCACCCAAAAATGTAAAAACCATTCTTAGCTTACATGCCATACAAACAGGCGGTGGGCCATTGCTGAGCCACAGGCCATGTGGTTCACCTGCCTCTCGATCAGTCAGTATTCTGTATCTCCTGCTAACTTCTATTTATACTGTTCTGAGTCATTCAGTTTTTATTACTAGTACATAAAGGTCTGTGAGGATGGATGCTTTAAAAATCTATAATTTTATTTTAACTGCAACAGAAACTCGCTTACTGGGAAAGAGACCAGGATTAGGGGTTTCTTTTACAAAATATGTAGTTAAAATATTCCCTTTCAGAGTAAACTATTCTAATTTCTTGCTGCATACAACTGTTGAAATTAATTGACCTTAAAAACTAAAGATCTGTTTATAATTAAATCCACTAAAGTTTCCCATTATATGTAAAATAACCTATTTGTCAAGTTCGGGGGAGAGAGCAAATACAGGAAGCTTCCAGATAACAGGATCCACAAAAGAGCAACAATGTAAAAATCAGAGAAAACCAGTCTCAACAACAACAACAAAAATACAAAAGAAGTTTCAAAAAAATACAGCTCTAATTAACAAGCAGCACCCCCACAAAAACCCCATTGCCATAGAGTCCATTGCAACTCATAAGGACCCTATAGGACAGAGTAGCACTGCCCCACTAGGGTTTCCAAGGAGCAGCTGGTGGATTCCAACTGCAACCCTTCTTTTGGTTAGCAGCCAGGTTCTTAACCACTGCGCCACCAGGCTCCAGCAGGTGGCACAGCAGAAGGGAAAGGAGAGCCTAGCAGGGGCAATTAGAAACAGCGCCCTCAGGAGACAGAACTCTAACTCCAGGTGAAGCACGCAAACTCTTTAAATAAATACAGTACTCTCTATCTTAGCTGTAAAGGAGCCCACCGGTGCAATGGTTAAAGAGCTCAGCTGCTAACCGAAAGGTCATCAGTTCGAACTCACCAGAGGCTCTGCAGGAGAAAGATGTGACAGTTAGCTTCTGTAGAGATTACAGCCTTGGAAACCCTATGGGGCAGTCCTACTCTGTCCTCTAGGATCGCTCTGAGTTGGAATCCACTTGACCGCAGTGGGAGTTTTTATCTTAAAAGTGCTTCAAGGAAAAAATCATGATATTTATTGGCAAGCCTGTGGTAAGTACAATAAAAGTTGATGTGCACACCAAGTCGGTACCGGGCGACTGCTGGGCCCCGAGCCAGCGCTAGGCTCCAGTGCTGGTCACCCTCAAAACACGTGATATGGGGAACACTAGATTTAAATTAAAGAATGGTGTAGAATAAGTCATGTCTATTTGGATGGGAAAAAAAAAGACAAGCATTTATGGATACATTAAAATTGTTTTTAAGTATTAGGACAAATACATACATTTATTTAGGCCAAACAATGCTGATTTTCTATATCTCAATTTACATAGTAATCAAATATATATACTTTACAATATAATTTTAATGAGCAAGGATAGTCAGAAACACGGAGAAAATAATAAATAAAGACATCATTTTAATCAGATAGTTCAACAAACCCCTACCACTACCTGCTAACACAAGTGGACAAAGACTTAGTAACAAAATTTAACTATAAAAATAAGTAGAATGTAATTGAGTATATAACCAAAAACCAAACCCGTTGCCATTGAGTCGATTCCAACTCATTGCAACTCCATAGGACAGAGTAGAACTGCCCCATAGGGTTTCCAAGGAACAATTGGTGGATTCTAACTGCCAACCTCTTGGTTAGCAGCCATAGCTCTTAACCACTACGCCACAAGGGTTTCCAATTGAGTATATACATAGTGTAAATAAATAAATAATAAAACTAAGCACACAAATAAATAATACAGAAAAAAAAAATAGGGTTAAATAAATAAACAGGCTAAATTATAAGTTTCTCATAAAATTTAGCCACATGCCGAACCAAAAAGTACATGTAATAATCACCTCACTAAAAATAATGAAACTATCAATATAGACATTTTTTAAATGTTCCACTTTTGAAATTTGCTAAGGATTTATAATAATAAAAATAACTGGAAAAAAATGGAAATACAAATGAAACCTTAAAAAATTATATGATCATTCTAAAGCAGAGAACTTACATGGTAATTGAATTTTCCAGTTTACCATTTACAAAGACAAAGAAAAACATGATGAGTTTAGTCCCTCCACGAATAACACTGAAAAGGTACAAACACAGAAAGTTAAACCCTTAATCAGATACTTGAGTGTCTTCTAGGTACAAGGCTCTCAGGGACATGAAGTTGAGTCATGGATGACTCCTGTCTTTCATGAGCTTGTATCTGGTAAAGAAGATAAGACCATAAGTAATTACAATGCAAGATTAAAAGTGATCAATGCTACGAAAGAGAAGATGTTGTAAGTACTAGAGAAGTATGGAAATTAATTCAGATGTGGACATTCAGAAAGACTTCAGTGGAGGAGATAGCATTAACCCTTTGGTGACTCAATTATTTTCTGCTTTGAATTTTTTGTTGATACCATGTGTTTTCATTAATGGAAGCATGCTGAATCATTGAGTGTGTCTGAATTTTTGGTAGGTAATATGGATTTTTTTTCTCACCCCCTCCCAGAAGCATACCCTACCTGTTTAGTAGTACAGGTGAAGTACCACTAATTATACTCCAGAGTCCCCACAGGCGTCTATTGGTACATACGTGTAACACATAACAATTTTCAGAATTTCTATTTTTCGTACCAAAAATCCAGAGACCTCACACAATACCCTGTAAAAACAGTAATTTGTGGCGGATGCCTGTTTCTTTGGTTTCAAACAGTCATAAAGGCCCCTGCCTCATGGCAGCACACACTATCAGTATTATAGCAGCTTCCCAATAAACCCCAGAGGCTGAAAAAGTTCATGGTCACTGTATGTACCGCCAAGCATGAAGGGTTTTGAGATAGTTGGATGTGGCTACCTCAATTCGGAGGGGAACAAAGCCCAAGTCAAGACACAAGGAAAGGGGTGCAGTGAGGAAGGGGTGTCCGGACTGATCTGAACACAAGGTGCCTGAGGTAAAGAAGGTCCCTAGGTGGCACAAGTGGTTTGCACTTACGTATAGCCTGAAGGTTGATGGTTCAAACCCCCGCAGCAGTGCCATGGAAAAAAGGCCTGGTGATCTGTTTCCATAAAGAAAACCCTATGGAGCAGTTCTACTCTGTAATACATAGGGTCACTATGACTTGGAATTGACTCTACAGCTACTGTTTCTTTTAAGGTAAAGAAGAGGGGGTGGGTCAATCAAACAGGGTAGAGCCACACTATAGGAGGCCTTACAGTAAAATGTGGAAGGGAAGAGATAGATTATTCAAAATAAAACTAGAATTTATAGATTTAGAAAATTTTATTGTACAAACTAAGGAAACATGTCCCGGAAATTTCACCAAGAATGTGACTATACAATCTTTTGCCCAAGAAATTAGGTCTGTTATTTATGAATCTAATCAACCACCTCAGCAGAAATCCTGTCAGCTTAGACTGAAAAGGACAGAGACAGGACAAAATAAAGAAAAGCTGTCTGACTCTTGGAATTCTACAGACAGGAAATGGGTCAATGAGGCTACTTGGTTGCAGACATTTGTTGTCCTCCAAGAAAAGGAAGGCACAATCCCAGAAGCAGTTCAGAGATCAGAAGAACTGTCAGAGGGACCACTGGGGCAGGGCTGCCTTGGCTTCAAAGAGTGAAAACACTTTGTGAAAACAATCTAGATGCCCATCAACAGATGAATGGATAAACAAACTATGGTACATACACACAATGGAATACTATGCAATGATAAAGAACAATGATGAATCTGCAAAGCATCTCATAACATGGTTGAAACTGGAGGACATTATGCTGAGTGAAGTAAGTCAATCACAAAAGGACAAATATTGTGTGAGACCACTACTATAAAAACTCATAAAAAGGTTTACACACAAAAAGAAACAACCTTTGATGGTTACGAGGGAGGGAAGGGGTGGGAGGTAAAAACTTTAAATAGACAAAAATAGATAAGTGGGAACTTTGGTGAAGAGTAAGACAGTACGCAGTACTGGGGAAGCCAGTACAACTTGTCCAAGGCAAGGCCATGTAACTCAATAGACTCATCCAAACTCCCTGAGACACCAAATTACTGGGCTGAAGGCTGTGGGGGCCGTGGTCTTGGGGAAAGTCTAGCTCAATTGGTATAACATAGTTTATAAAGAAAATGTTCTACATTCTACTTTGGTGAGTAGCATCTGGGATCTTAAAAGCTTGTAAATAGCCTTCGAAGACATTCCACTGGTCTCACCCTACCTGGAGCAAGGGAGAATGAAGAAAACCAAAAACACAAGGGAAAGATGAGTCCAAAGGACTAATGGACCACAACTACCACAGCCTCCACCAGACTGAGTCCAGCACAGCTAGATGGTGCCCGGCTACCACCACCAACTACTCTGACAAGGATCACAATAGTGGGTCCTGGACAGAGCTGGAGAAAAATGTAGAATGAAATTCTAACTCACAAAAAAAAAAACAAACAAAAAAAAAACCACAGACTGGAGAAACCCCGAGAATATGGCCCCCGGATACCCTTTTAGCTCAGTAATAAAGTCACTCCCGAGGTTCACCCTTCAGCCAGAGATCAGACAGGCCCAGAAAACAAAACGAGACTAAAGGGGCAACACCAGCCCTGGGGCAAGGACGAGAAGGCAGGAGGGGACAGGAAAGCTGGAAAGGGGGAACCCAAGGTCAAGAAGGGGAGAGTGTTGATGTGTCATGGGGTTGGCTACCAATGTCACAGAACTACACATTGTCACAAAACTACACAATGTCACAAAACTACACTAATTGCTTAATGAGAAACTAGTTTGCTCTGTAAACCTTCATCTAAAGTACAATAAAAAAAAATTAAAAGGAAAAAAAAAAAACCCTGACTGCTCCAAATGCCAAGTTTTAGCCACCGTTAAAGGGAAGTCTGCTCATCTTCAAAACTACAAGGAGGTTCACAAGACAAGCACGTTGAAGACATCATTGAACAGTCTATAAACCACTAGGTGGAAATCGTGTATATTACGGACAATTACTCCAAAGAAAATAGTCATCCTTCCTAATATCTGACAAACAACATGTATGATTACTTATTCTTTCTTTCATTCATCCCCAAGAATTTCTCAATGCTTGCCTTGCCCCAATGTGCAAGACACTGGGGACACAGGAATAAACAAGACACACATGGTTTCTGTCCATAAGGAGTTTACAGTCTATGGGGACAAAGAAGGTCAAATAAGTCATGACAAATGGCACGCCTGTCATGGCAAGGGAAATGAAAGTCACAATGGAAGCACATTTCACAGGCCCTTCCCTTGTCTGCCTGGTGGGGGCAGTGGGGACGCCTTAAGTAAGTGAGTGGTGTTTCACCTGGGAATTGAAACAGAGTAGGAGTGTGTGGAGAGGGTCTCCCAAGCTGAGGGAACAGCACATGCAAAACCCACAAAAGCAGTACAAAGTGTGGCCCGTAGGAGGCACTGCAAGAAATGCAAGAGATAGGGCAAGACTGTGTGTCTTGTCAACCAGTGGGCCTCGTCCACAGTGTCCAAGATGGCGGGAAATAATGGCAACCCAAGTGGGTAAGGAGGAATCCGGTATGCTCTTCAGTTAAGATATTAACAAGGGGTTTTGAGAGGGCAAGGAGGGCCCTCTATGTTGCTCCCTGCCCTGTTAACAGTTTACAAAGGTTTTTAGCAACATGATTAACAGATGTCACAGATCTCTTTGAGGGTCCATCTTCCCCACTAAAGAGCACGTTCACAGTGCTGGGAGCAAGTTTTGCTCACTTTTGCGTTCCCATCACCTCATCTAGTGTGCAAGAGGTGGACAAAAAGGGCCATAAAGAAAAAAGTTCTCGATTGTCATTTGGTCTAGTTACTCTCCACTAAGGTTATACTCCAAGCCCAGGGAGTTACACACACTGAAAATGCATCAGATGTGCATTTTAAATTGGGGATGCTGTCACTGAAAGCTAATGATCTTATACCTTGCCTTTTATCACAGTCCTTGCATTTCTAGTTCCAACTTTTCATAGCTGTTTAATTTTGTTTTTATTTCCCATCAGAATGCACAGTCGATGGGTTTCTACCTGATGATGACTAAAGATGTATGCTTTAAACACTGCGGGTGATTTCCATCTTGGTCTCAACTTCATTAAGGGCCTAAGAGCTATACTGTTCATCCTTAAAATCTTCATTTTCATTCATCTCTTTCCTACTCATTCTAATGAGCATGGCAAAGTGAAATAAAATCTTTACATAGCTGCATAAACCCTGCTGTCCAACGGGCATAAAAAGACGCTGCTGCTAACACTGAACTCTGCTGGGAGGCTCTGTCACCGGCGAGAGAACCCCAAATACTGACTAACCAGCTGTTAGAGTCTGAACCGAGCCTTTGAAAGGCAACTCCAGGAGCCGACATAAGGTGTGTAAAGCAGGCGGCATTCAAAAGTAAAATTCAAAAGTCAGGATTTCCTGCAATTCAAAGGGTAAAATAAGTGATTTTTTTTTTTTTTACAAAAATGTTCACGGCAAAACGTCCAATAGTAGGAAAATGGTTGAGCAAATGATAGCATATTAACATAACAATATACCACAGCAATATGTTGATTATATCAACACTTCTATGTGTTCGTTTGAAATAATGTGCAGTGAAAAAGAGCACAAAAATTATTACAACATCAAGTGTTTATTTTCTTCAAAATCGTTAAATTAGTGCTTACTTCGGCAGCACAGATACTAAAACTGGAATGCTACAGGGAAGGTTGGCATGGCCCCTGCTCAAGGATGACACGCAAATTCATGAAGCGTTCCATATCTTTTTGGAAAGGGGCAGCGTGCTGTCACATTGTGGGGAAGGCAACCAATGTCACAAAACAATACACGAATAAATTTTTGAATGGGAAATTAACTTGAGCTGTAAACATTCACCTAGTGCACAAAAAAGAGACAAAAAATTGTTAAATTACTGATTTTCCTCACACATATCTTTAAAGGAAAGAGCCTCTTATGTGGTACCTGAGCATATACTGAGACCAGATATGTCCTTGTTTTAATTGACAAAATAGAGATGCTTCAGTGAGAGTGAGTAACCCTTTCATTTAGAATACCAGTGAATGTCAGAATGCCATCTGATTTATCTATAGAGTTTAGCTTTCACAGATGATGGTGTTGCATGACTTAACGAAATGTCAGAGCATGGTGAGAGGAGCCAGCCAGGCTTCTGAAGCAGCCCAGCACCGCTTCCCTTGCCGACGCTGCTTCCAAGGAGCACAACACGAACACTGTTCTTTAGACAGTCTGGAGATTTAGCACGTCTTTCCATTTTTATCAGTGGTCAGAGTATGTCATGAGTTTTTAATTTATTTGCCTTTTTTATTGTAACATGATCACTTTCTGAGAATGGTACAGATTTTTATTATTAACTTCACTATAAAACAAATTCCAACTGATCCTGGGTGTGTAAGTATTCCAAATAATAGACTCGGCTATCTTAAATATAATGAGGTCTAGATATTGGAAGTGACATTTCATGTAACTTGAAAAACTCTGGACCAGGGGGTGCAAACTGGCAGGCTGTGTCTCAACATTGCCTGCAGGCCTTTTTTCTTTTCCTTTTTTTGTTTAGCCTATACAACAGTTAGGTCCCTGGGTGGCATCAACCGTTTGCACTCAGCTATTAACCAAAAGGTTGGTGGTTTAAACCCAGCCAAGAGGCACCACCTGGCAATTGGCTTCTGTAAAGATTACAGCCAAGAAAACCCTATGGAGCAGTTCTACTCTGTAACACAGGGGGCCGCCGTGAGTCAGAATCGATTAGATGGCAATGGGTTTGATTTTTGGTTTTTTGTATACTATAGTTAATATTTAGAAACCGAGAGGTCTTACATATACATTCTCCTTTCTGGTTTATCTTGAAAAATCAGCAGAACTGCACCCTCTGCCACCCATCCCAAGTCACCTCTGCAAGGAGGCAATCTCCTGGAGCCAATCAAGGGCTTCCTTTAGTCAAGACAAGTGTTTGTTCTTCAGCATGCCAGCAGCCACTCCCACTGTCCTCCCTCTCCCCCTCCTCCCACCTCAGAGCGCACGCATGCACGCACGTCTACCTGGGCCCCAGTGCCTGCCACCTGTCCATACCTCATGTCCACAAAGCCAGACATCAGAACGCTACTAGGACTGTAACGGAGATTGCAGTGGAGGAAATCCTTCCATTTCCTATTCATTCTCATTGTTCTTTTTAGACTCCAGACTTCAAATCACAACCACAGCAATGAGAACACAATTTAGACACTGAAATCCCATGAATTACAGGACAGCCCTCTATCTCTAAGTCACGCTGAGCTCCTCAGGTGTCAGGGTGTCTCACTGTCCCCCTTGGGACACCATGGCCAGACCTTGGACAGGTCCAGTACACTGAACTGGTGAAGTTCACTTTGCAGGCTTTAAGAATTCATGGGGTAAAATGCTGGTCTGGGAGCTTCCACTGGAGGCAGCTGCATCCTAATCTGATCTCTGTGTCAGGGCTGGGCACAGGATTTGACTCATTACTACCTGCATTAAATTCTTTTTTTTTTTTTTTTAAATTTCAGACTCACTGTTTACATTCCTGGGTCATCAGCAAGAAAAGGTTGAGTATTAGTATTATATTTTCCTCTCCACAAGATGTTGGGCTAAAGAACTAGCCTATATCTAATGAGACTGAAAAGTATTTTGCTGAGTTGACTTTTCAAACATCCATAACTAGAAATTTTATACTTGGTTTTCAAAATGCAAACTCGTTATTACTCATGATAGATTTGAAAGACGTGAGCATGTGTGAATGTATGGAGGTGTACATAACTCACGAAAGCAAAGACACACACGTGCACGGGTGCGCACACACAAACTCATAAAGCCTTCTGTTTCATTGTGCTTCATGGAAGATACTGTATCAAACCAAACTCTGATGAAAAGTTTCCTGTCAGACAGAAGGATGTATCCACTGGAGCCAAAGGCAGAGGCAGCTGCAGATAGTGCTCTCAGCAATTTGCTGTTGAACAAAAAATGACTCTCTCTCTGGACTTCAAGGAGAGTCCCAAAATGAGAAAAGAACATGCTATCGCTCTAGGAACTGAATCCCTTGGTGGCTCGGCTAGTCAAGGATGAAGTGCTCCTGGCTGCTGAGGAGTCTGAGCTACATCAGCGAGCAGATGAAGGACACTGTTAAAAGGAGCAACTCCATTTATACAGCTTCCCATTTTGTGACCTTAAGGCATTTGACAGCCCTCCAACATCTCTTAAAATCTGAATCCAGTGAAGTCCTTTGCTGCTGGATGACTACTTTGTGGTAAAAAAAAGCTCAAGATTTTTCCAGGAATTTTTAAAGATATTGATATGTAAGAGACTGGCTAATTAGCACCTGTGTATTACACGGGTGTCGTATTACACAGGTGTCCCTAGGTGGTACAAACAGTTAAATACTAAACTACTAACTGAAAGGCTGGAGGTTCCAGAGGCACCTTGGAAGAAAGAGCTGGAGATCGACTTCTGAAAATTTATTCATCGATAAGCCTATGGAGCACAGTTCTACTCTGACACACTTGGGGTTGCCAAGAGTCAGAACTGACTCTACGGCAACTGGTTTTGTTTTATTAAATATACAAACCTACTGCTGACGAGTTGATTCTGACTCATAGTGACCCCATATGGTTTCCAAGGCTATAAATCTCTATGGAAGCAGACAGTCACATCTTTCTCCCATGGAGCCGCTGGTGGTTTTGAACCACCAACCTTTTGGGTTAGCAGTCCATTGTTTTAACTATAATTCTTTTGCATTCTAATTCATAAAAAAGCAAATCAATGTCTTCCTTTCCGAGATGAGAAATAAATTGTACTCAGAGGAAAGTCAGTGAAGAAATAGTAAGTAAACACTTCATTTTTCTGAAAATAGTATTTCTCACTTCTTATTTAGAGTTATTCACAGTTTTAAATGTTATATTAGGTTGTTTACTACTAACTGGCTTTCAAATACAGGTTAGCCCTCTACATCTGGGGGTTCCACATCTGTGGATTCAACCAACCACGGATTGAAAATATTTGGAAAATAAAAAACAAAAAAAGGAGGCTCCAAAAAGGAAAACTTGAATTCGCCATGTGCTGAGCACTCCACTGAATGCATGGGAAGGACGTGCTGTGCAGGCCTCCCCTGCTGTAGCCTCCTGCCATCTCACAGTTCCTCGGTTTCTCCAGCACTCATTTGAACATCGTTTGCCTCGAATCTTGTTCCTTCACTACTTGTGTTGTGTGCACCTTTGTTTCTGTGCAAAATGTCTCCTACAAAGCAATGAAGTGGTCAAAGTAATCCCTCAAAAGCTAAGAGGGAGCAAAGTTCTATTTACATAGCACTTTTCAACTATTTACATAGCATTTCCATTGCATTAGGCATTATAAGTAATCTAGAGATGATTTAAAGTATACGGGAGGATGTGCATAGGTTATATGCAAATACTACACCATTTTATACAAGGGGCTTGAGTGTCTGTGGATTTTAGTATGAGGGGGTCCGGGAACCAATCCCCCAAGGATACCAAGGGACAACTGTAACAAAAACAAATTATGTACTTTACCCCCTTGCCTACTTCCCACTAAAGGGCACCATCTAAGATTACTCTGCAACTGGGTCACTGTTGTGGATTGAGTTGTGTCCCCCCAAAAAGTCTGTCAACTTGGCTAGGCCATAAATCCCACACTGTGGGATTGCCCATCATTTTGTCATCTGATGTGATTTTCCTATGTGTTGTAAATCCTATCTCTATGATGTTAACGAGGCACAATTAGAGGCAGTTATCTTAATGAGGCAGGACTCAATCTACAGGATTAGATTGTGTTTGAGGTCAATTTCTTTTGAGATATAAAAGATAGAAGCAAGCAGAGAGACGGGGGCCTCATACAACCAAGAAAGCAGTGCCAGGAGCAGAGAGCATTCTTTAGACTTGGGTTCCTGCATGGAGAAGCTCCTAGACCAGAGGAAGATTGATGACAAGCACCTTCCTCCAGAGGCGACAGAGAGAGAAAGCCTTCCCCTGGAGCTGGTGCCCTGAATTCATACTTCTAGCCTACTAGACTGTGAGAGAATAAACTTTTGTTTGTTAAAGCCATCTGCTTGTGGTATTTCTGTTATAGCAGCACTAGATAACTAAGACAGTCACCATGCTCCTTTTTGAAGCTAGAAGTGGAAGAGGTCTGGGGGTGGGGGGTAAGAGCCACACTCTGATTCTGAACATGCTCAGTTCTTGCCATTAGCATGCTCGGATTCTGTGACAGCCAATAGAACGAGGCTAGGTTTGTGTCATATGAATTTTGCAAAGTACTCCATGAGCACAATGCAACAAGGACCAAATACACACGCGGCACCCTCCACGCAGCCCCCGAATCACAGCTGGCTCAGCTGTGCCCTCACTGCACACAGAAAGCAACTCCACACCAGGAAATAATAATACCAACACTGGGCAGTTCTCAAGTATCTCTGCATATATTATACCTGGGTGTGAAATGCGTGCCTCCCCACGCTGAGCAATCCACAGGTGCCAGGGGGTTTCTAATACAGCCAGGTGGGAAATAAGATCCACACAGGGAAAATACTGAACGCTGCCCTTGACCACGCCGCTGCTGCCTACTTGAGACTGAGTTTTCTTATTTAGAAAAGTCTTTGACTCATGTTTCATGGGAAGTGCAGCGCAGAATGAGCAAAGAACTTATTCTGAATGTGTCACGACAGCAGCTTTAGATTTCACAGCTACGAAGCAGATTCAACAGCCCTCATATGATTCCAAACATCTTT